TTGGTGTTGTACTAGGGTAGTGTTAAGGCAGGATGTAGGTGTATAGATAGAGTACCTATGGGGGTACTGGAATTGCTATGGCTATATGTGTTACTGATAACCATAACTGGATTTTCGGGGTAGGTTAATGATGGCTAATTCTAGGGTGGTTCTAAGGTATGATTTGGGTTGTGTAGGAGAAATGCATATAGACATACTGAATTTTTTGTCATTGCATATTATACCTGCAACTTGATTTTTATCGTATTGAGTTATGTGAACTCACTTCTTATCATTAACAGATGAAGTAGGGATGGAGCCGGGATCTGAGTTGCTGGTTGCTGAGCCTAGTCTTTAGCACCATAAGGCAAGGGTTTTCTTTGTGGCGAGTTGTAGTGTGTAAAAGTTTATGTTAGTATGGATACTGTTTGCTGTAGGTGTATGATATGGTTTTGTCATTTGATGTATATGTACAATTGTAAGTTTACATTGGGTTTGAACAATGAAATGTGAACAAGTTTTCTTTGTGTGTGATTAAACTGGCACGGGACTTGCGTGTTGAGTCATGGGATTATTTTATCTTACGCTGTTGAAAGAAAAAAAAAACGGGGTATTATAGTGAAAGCTATATGATGTAAGATAAATAGTGTAGAACCAAAATTATCCTACAAAGTAGAGAGAGAGAGAAAAATACTAGAAGAAAACAGATCCACCAGAGGAAATTAGGAACAGAGATGAAAAAAAAAAGGGAATATTAGAATGAACAGATAGACCAGGAAAATAACAATCAGAAGAACAAACACAAGATAGAGATAGTAGGGAATAAAATCCCAACCATGAAATTCTAAATTCATGGTCACCTTCTACTATTTTGTTGGTAGCTACTAACTTTTTTGTAAGCATAAGTCACAACAAATAAAAAAATTATAAAAGAGAAAATCTGAAAGATCCTAATTCCTCTAATATCTACCTAAAATGAAACAAAAATATTATAATGTTTTAACTAATAAGAAAAAGTATAAAAAAGAAAATAAAAAAGATTCTCATTTCCCATAGTATTTAAGATCAGCCTAAAAATAAGATGAGAGGGAGATTCATACAGGGGTAACCACAGACAATATTTTGCCTCTTGACCTCAAGTTATCCATAGCCGAAATTCTGGTCGCTTCCCGGACAAAAAAAGGCAATCCTAGAGGAGCCTTACTTCTCCAGATTTTCTTCCAAGGGAACCTCTAAGGCCTTCACATCGACATTGCATACATTGTTAGAAAAGGAATTTACTGAAAACTCTCCATCTTCAGTGAGAAGCCACTAAGGTCTATCATCTTTTGAAGGAGGCACTTGCGAAGAGAAGCCATCAGATTTACTAACTCCACAACCTCCAAATTGCTAAGGTCCTTGAAGAGTTGAATATTCCAAACAACCTAGCCACCTAAGTCAAATTCTGAACACTCTCCCACCTGCCTCTTTATGCCTGGCTAAGAGTAAACACGAGGAAAATACCTTCTCAATTGTCTATTGCTGCACAACCAATCATCCCCAAAACCCACCAACTGCTTTCTATTCACCACAAAGACCAACATGTTAAAAAATCAGTCCTAATCCCCAGCTATCCATCTCCACAAACTGATACCATAAGGACATCAATCAGTTTTGGTCCTCCAATCCCTCCCTTGAATACTATACTTAGCCCGAATCACATTCCACAAAAGCTGCCTCTTTCTGTAGTTCATAAATTTCCATAACCATTTGGAAGGATCTAAATGAAAACTATTATGGATCCTAACAATTTAAAAATCATGTCACTTTCCAAAGCATATTGAAGAAGGAAGAAAGAGCCTATAGACAAAATTTCTTCTGTCCAAGGGTTTTGTGGTGTTATGGTACCTATTTTTTGACAAATTTTTCTACACTTCTTATTCAGATTACATTATTTTTTATACAAGAAAACATAACTTCCCCTAGGAACTACCTCACATCCTAGAACCTACCTAAGTAACTAACCCCACACTCTAGAAACTAACTTCAAACATATCCCAATAATTAATTAGATCATAAGATACAACTAGATAACTAAATGAAACAAAAACAATTGTGTTCTGACAGCATGTGTCACCCACTCTAGCAGCCATGTAATAATCATAGCAAATCTTTTTTTAATCAGTAATCTTTTCTATGATTATGAATTCTTGTAGTGTGAAAGCAAATTGTTTCTTAATGCAAAAGTAATGTGCAGTTGTGAAAACCAAGGTGAGAAGTCACCAATGCTTTACAACTCAATAAAAACCAGAAACATATTATTGGCAAACTGCCCTCCCGGTTGTATCGTCCTAGAAGATTGGCTGCCAGATAAAAGCTGGAAGCAAACCATGTTGATTTGCAAGTAATTGGATCTCTTTACTCTGTGCTCCTCTTTTTCAGCCTATGATAGCCGCTTCTTTAAAAAACGAAAGGAGAGAGAGAAAAGGTAATTTGACTTATTGGATTGAAAAGAAATGGAATTTATCATCTGATGCAAACCATAAAGCTCTTGCCAGCATTGATCTTTTCTCTCGTAGAGATGCATAGCACTACCAAGGGATTTAAATTGTGGTTCGTTTTGCTCCCTCGATGTCCCTCCTCATGGTTATTCTCTCCTTCTTCTCTTTCTAGGGTGCAAACTTTTGGTGAAGTTTGCACCAAATTCACACTGTCATCACTTGGATCATTTTTCTTACTTCGGGGGTCCAAATAGATCTGATTGGTCATTTCTTGGTGTTGAGACTCCCTAGCAAACCTATCATGTTTCTTATTAGTGAATTCAAGTTTCTGTACCTCAGAGTGAAAATGTTCCTTTCTACTACTACCACAGCATCTTTGTGACCATGATGGTACACTACCTCAACCTTCTTGGTAAGTTTGACAAAAAATTCAAAACATCAAACATTAATCACCAATGATTTTTGGCTCTGATAACAAATTGTTATGACCCGTACAGAATCTTATTATGTGATAGATTACTTGCATGGGCTCATTAGGAAAGAACATAACAATTTCGTAAAGTTTAATGTACTCAAAAAGTAATTTTTGATAAATTCTTTTTGCGCATCTTATTCAGATTATGATTCTGGTTTTATATAAGAAACATAACTTCTCCTAAGAACTATGCACAAATCATAGAAACTACCTAAGTAACTACCCTCACATCCTATAAACTATTTTCACACTTATCCTAAAAACGAATTATATCATTAAATAAACTGGATAACTAAATAAAACAATAAC